CCCCGGGGGTCTCTGGGGGGGGGTCCCACGGGCAGGGCTGAGCACAGGGTCCGGTCAGGACCCCCCCCTAGTGTCCCCCACAGGGCTGGGGGTGCCCCCCCACGCCCCCTTACGACCCCCGGCGGGGTCCCGCAGCCCGGCAGTGTCCCCGGGAGTCCCCGCGTGTCCCCCCAGCCCCGGCACAGCCTCGGGGGTTGGGTTTGGGGGGGTCCCCGAGAGCCCCCAACCCGCCCCCCACCCGAGCATCTTTGGGTCAATGGCGTCACCTCGTGGCCTTTGCGGGCAATGACACCGGGGGGTGACGTCATCGATGTCACCGAGGGCGCGAGGGGCGGGGCCGGGCGCGGGGACAGGGGATGGGGACTGGAGATGGGAACTGGGGACAAGGAATGGGGACAGGGGAGGGGGACAGGGAGGTCCCTGTGCCAGGGCCGGCCGCCGCGATGTCCCTGCTGCCGTCACTCTTTCCAGTGGCGGTGACACGGCCCAGGGGCGCGGGGACACGGGGCGGGGGACACCGGACATCCTGCAGCCCCCCCCCCCAGCCCGGATTTCCCGGCACGGTGGGAGCGGCGCGGTGGCTCCCGGTGACCTTTGCCGGGGTCGGCACGGTGACAGCCACGGCCGCCACCCCCGGCAGGGAAGAGGCGATGCTGCCATGTCCCCAAGGCCACCGCGGCGTCCCCTCCCTGTCCCCGCGGGGGCGGGGCTGTCCTGGTGCCGCTCTCGGGGTCCCTCCTGCCATTGTGGGTGGGGGTCTCATCCCATAAAGGCTCCTAACCTGGGGGTCCCCCCTCTCCTGGGGAGGGTCGCATCCCAAAGAGGGGCCTGGCAGGGGGGTCCTACCCGGGGGGGATCAGGGCGGGAAGAAGAGGGGGAATTGTCCCTCGGGGATGCGGGAGGGGACAGTGGGGCGGGGGGCACACGGAGGGGTCCGGCAGAGGGCGGGGGGCAGCTCTGGGGGTCGCGATGCCCCCGCGGGGCTGCCGGGGCAGCGGAGGCCGCGTTCGAACCTCCCCAGGTGCGGCGGCCCCTCCCTCACCTGCGCACGCAGGTACGCGCGGCGCGGTGCGCGGTCCCTTTAAGGGGCGTGTCCGGAAGCTCAGCGGCCCCGCCCCTGCCCCGCCCGGCCCCGCCCCCTCCCGCGCGCACCGGTCCCGGTGGGGCGCGGGGCGGGTACGGCGGCCGGTGCGGGACATGGCGCGGCGCCGCCGGCTGCTGCCGGGGCTGCGGCTCGGGCTCGGCCCGGTGCTGCTCGGGCTCGGCCCGGTGCTGCTCGGTGCCGCCGCCGCTTTCAACCTGGACCGCACCTTCCCCGTGCTCAAGGAGGGCCCCGCCGGAGCCTTGTTCGGCTTCTCGGTAGCGCTGCACCGGGACACGGAGCGGCAGGAGCGGAGCCTGTGAGCGCGACCCCCGTGCGGAGCGGGAGAGCGAGGGGAGGCTCACCTGAGCGGGGGGGTTGGCAAGGGGAAGAACGGGGAGGGGTCCCCCGTGGGGGTGCGGGGGCTCCCCGGGAGGATCGGGGGGGGGTCTCCGGTGCTTGGGACCCCCGTGAGGCGGAGGAGAGTGAGACAGCGCTTTACCTGTGGGTCCATGGGGGTGAGGAGCCCCCCCTTGGGATGGGGGTCCCACGTGGGGTGGGGTCTCTGTGGCACGGAGACACCCCGGGGGTGTCGGGGGTCCCTGTGGTGGGGGTCTTTGTGGAGGGTCTCTGTTCTGTGCCGGGGCTGTCCCGAGCCCGCGCCGCCGCCGTGGGGGCGGGGCGCACCTGGAGGGGGGTGGGGGTCCCCAAGAGGGATCCCCCCCCTGGGGAGGGGGCTCCAGGTTTGGGGGGTGGCCCAAAGCCCGGCTGAGGGGGGGTCCGCGCTCCGCAGTTGCTCCTGGGGGGGGTCCCCCGCTCGTGGGACGCCCCCGCTCTTTTCCACACCCGGTATTGGCGGGGGTCCCATCTCTGGGGGTCCCTCCCCGAGCCCCCTCCTCACTCCCCGCCTGCTGAGCGCCCGCAGCGGGGTCCCGGTGACACCGGGGGGGGCTGGCAGCAGCGCGGGGACACCCCGTGTCCCCCCGGGTGGTCTCAGAGCCCCTCTGAGGGGGGGGATCCGTCCCCAGCGGAGCGGTCCCGGCCGGCGCCGACCCCCAGCGGGGCTGTGGCGGAGCCCCCCGCGCCCCCCCGGTGCCGCCGGTGCCCGGGAACCTGTTGGGCTGTGGCTGCTGCTGCCGGGCACAGCTCCAACAAAAGCCCTTTTCAGCCGGAACGGTCCCCGTGCCGTCCCGCCGCTGTCACTCGCCGTGTCCCCCGCTGTCCCCCCGGTGCCCGGTGCCCGGTGCCTCCCGGCCGGGAATTCCCGTCCGTGCCGGGAGAAGGCTCCGCCGCAGGGCTGGGCTGCCTTTGTCCGCCTCAAGGGCACGGCTTTTTGCTGGATCACCTTCCCGCGGCTCTCCCGCCTGCGCGGGGCTCCTCGGAGACCCCCGGGGGTCCCGTTTTTCCCGGGGGAGGGGGGCGGCGGGCAGCAGCTGCCGGGGCCCGGCATGTGCCGCTCCGCATTCCAGGGATGCATTCGGGGCCGTGGGATGAGGAGCCGCTGCCGCTCCCTGCGGAGCTCCGGGGGCTGCGGGACCCTCCCCGTGCCCGGGGGGACACTCAGGTCCCCCCCGCGGCCGGGCCCTGCCCGCTCCGGTGCCACCGGAGCGGCCACCGGGGGGCACCGGGCGGGGGTCGCGGCCGGCACCGGGACTGATCCGTTCGTGTCTTCCCGGCAACGGCCCCGGGGGGGTTCGGGGGGGCTGTGACAGGGACGTGCCACCCCCACACCTGCGCCACGTGTCCCGGCGTGTCCCAGCGCGGTCCCGGCGGGGCGCGGAGGCTCCGCCGGCTCCGGAGCCAGAACCCCCCCGGGCATTCGCGGCCCGGCCCCCGGAGCCTCCGCCGCCCGTTCCCTCGGCGGGGCCGGGAGCAGCGCGGGGTCCTGTCCATCCCGGGGGAGGGGGGCTCAGCTCGGGCCGGCGCTGGGGGGCCCCGGAGCCCCCCGGGGGTCGCAGCCGCGCCCCGGTGCCGGTGGAGGCTGCCGTGCCCTCTGCCCGCAGGTGCAGGGTGGGGACAGGAAAGGGACATTTCCTGCCACCGTCACGCCGGTCTGCCGCTCGGGAGGGGGTGTCCCGTGCTTTTTTGGGGGGGGCTGGCTCCTGCCCCGGCTGTCGGGACGGCGGTGGGACCGGAGGGGCGCTCCGGGGCAGCGCCGGCACTCCCGAATTCCCGGGCGGGGCCGGGGCGATGCCGGAGCCCCCCCGTTCCGTGCCGTTCCGTGCCGTTCTGTTCCAGCCCCGCGGAGCTGTGCCCAAGCAAAGGTTTGTTTGCTCGCTCCTCCCCGGCCAGGTGAGGCTCTTATCAGCGCTCCCGAGATTACCGAGCTCCGCGGGCCGCCCGCGTCCGGCCGCTCCCACCGGGAGCCGCTCAGCCCGGCCCAGGTGGGTTTGGAGCTCCCTGGGTCACCTGGGGAAACTGAGGCACGGCTGATCCCTAGGAAAGCTGAAGACCCTCTCCCCCAAACTCTGCAGGCAGAGGGGAGGCAGCACCCACATCTGCAGCCCTGTGGGAACTGGGGCTCTGCCCGGGACTCGGGGGTCTCCCTGATTGCAGCTGGCTGCTGAGGAGAGCAGAGCTCTCCTGGCTGCGTTCCCGGCTTTCCCTCCCCCCGGCCGGGCTTTTGCGGATTGCTGGAGCTGGCTGAGCTCCCCCTGCCTTGGCCCGAATCCGCCGGGGTCCTGCGGGGCTGCGGCTGCTGGGCAGGAGGAGGGGGACGGATGTGGGGCCGTCTGTCCATCCATCCATCCATCCATCCATCCATCCATCCATCCATCCATCCATCCCTCCAGGAGCCGTCCCCCCTCTCCCGGCCCCTTCCCCGCTGGATTTCCATGCCCAGGGACCCCCCTGGCAAACACAGAGCCCTGGGGGCGGGCCGGGTCCCCCCCTCCCGGCTCCCTCACCCCCGGACCGTGGTGGGAGATGGGTGAGGAGCTCCCCTCGCTGCCCAGCTGCTCCCTGGGGAGGGGGCTCCGCGGCTGGGGGGGGGGGGGGGATGTACGACCCCCCTGTTCCGTGCTGAGGTGCCCGGGTGGGATTCTCTGCCATCCTCGCTTCTCCCACCCCAGGGAGGGGCCGCAGTTTGGGGTCCTGGTGCCCGGACCCTCCCGCGGCCCCCCCTCCCAGCTGAGCCAGCGCTGGCAGGGAGCCCCCCCGCGCTTCCATCCAGCCCCCCCGCGCTTCCATCCAGCCCCCCCCCGCTCTTGCCAGGGCGGATT